GCATGCGCGGTGGGGACATGGGAGGCACGTGGAGGGGGTGTGGGATGGATCGGGATGGACTGGGATGGACTGGGATGAACTGGGATGAACTGGGATGGATCGGGATGGACTGGGATGAACTGGGATGGACTGGGATGAACTGGGATGGACTGGGATGGATCGGGATGGACTGGGATGGATCGGGATGGACTGGGATGGACTGGGATGGATCGGGATGGACTGGGATGAACTGGGATGGACTGGGATGGATCGGGATGAACTGGGATGGACTGGGATGGACTGGGATGGATCGGGATGGGATTAGAGGATCATCCCGCCCCACTGGGGAGCACAGAGCTGAGGATTCATTGCTCATCCCAGCCCTTCCTGGGAGAACTGAAGCTGTCCAAGGACCAGTCTGGTCCATACTGGGAGGACTGGGGTTGTGCTGTGCCTCACTGGTCTGTACTGGGAGGCCTGAATCTGCTTTGGGATCATTCTGGCCCATGCTGGGAGGTCTGTCCCTGCCCTGGGACCAGCCTGGCCCTGTCCTGGCCCATCCCATGTTCGCCCTCCTTGGACCTGCACACACCTGGACAGAGTTTGTCCCTCCCAGATGTTCCTCAGGTCGAGTTTAACGCCAGCTCTGCCACTTTATTTCTCCTAGCAGGGAATGGGATCTGTGTCTTCCCTTCTCTCTCAAGAATTCACCCCAAAGCACGAGCTGGGCTCTCGGATTCCAGCTGAGGATCAAGTCCCACCTCTTTTTCCAGCGGTTATGGTGCTGCTGGGAAAAGAGAACTCAGGTTTTCCTGGGAAATAACCTGTTGATAGGGCTGGTGAGAGTTGTCAGAGAACATTCCCCCTTCCTGGTGTTCCATGGATACACGAGCCGGGTCCAGGTGTGTCCATGGCACCATTCTGAAGATGGGAAACTGAGGCACCGCCAGGCTGGATGATTTTTCCCTACCCCAAAACTGCTCAGAATCCTGAGTGTGACCCAGAAAAGCGCTGGGAACAGATTGTCGAAGGATTCCTGGAACAGGGAATGCTTGAGGAACGATAATGTGTGGATTGTGACTGGCCTAAAAACACAGCGCTGTCTCTGTGACCGAATTCCCTCCTTCAACCCAAAACCGCAGCTTTTTAACCTCCCAAAATCCCCAAATCCGCCGGTCTGCAGCTGTTTTCCTTCCTTCCCACTGGCTGGAGAGTGCAAACCCCCGAAATCACCTGGTTATCCCCTGAAATCACCTGGTTATCCCCCAGAATCACCTGGTTATCCCCTGAAATCACCTGGTTATCCCCCAGAATCACCTGGTTATCCCCCAAAATCACCTGGTTATCCCCCAAAATCACCTGGTTATCCCCCAAAATCACCTGGTTATCCCCCAAAATCACCTGGTTATCCCTTGAAATCACCTGGTTATCCCCCAAAATCACCTGGTTATCCCCCAAAATCACCTGGTTATCCCCTGAAATCACCTGGTTATCCCCCAAAATCACCTGGTTATCCCCCAAAATCGAGGATGCCGTCGGTTCCGCGGGGATCTGGCGGCCGTGGCGCAGCCGACATATGGCGCGAGCCGAGGAGCCGCTGCCGACAGATTTTTGGTTCGTTTTCCCAGAAAAACACGGGTAAACACAGGCTCTTGCTGTTTCAAAACTGACTCATCATTTTCCTTAAACAAACAGCCAAATCCGGAGGCTCCCGAGGCGGGAGAGGGCTCGGGGTGGGAATTGCCAGCCCCGGGTGGGGACGATGCCGGTGACAGCGGGACCCAGCGTGTCCCCAAACCCTCTGGAAGTGCCAGCTGGTGCTTCCCGAGGATCCCAGGAGGAGGAAACCACCCTGAGCCCAAATCTGAGGAGTTTCAGGTAGGGATGCTCCCCGGGGTGGGGGGGGGAGCTTTGCCATCCCTCATCCCGTGGATTCCCGGGGATATCCCGGGATATCCCGGCTGGACGCTCCTGGAGCTGCTCCTGGGTGCGGAGGGGAGCCCGGGGAGCCCCAGCAGCTCCTCAGAGGGGAGGGGATGCCGTGATTTTGCTGCTCTCCCACGCAGTGCCAGGCAGAGCTGCGCTCACCTCCGCCCCCGGGCAGCATCCCGGCTGGAAGGAGCCCCCCCAAACACCCCTGGGCTCCCCACAGACCCTCCAGGGATTTCACCTCCAACCAGGGTTGGGGTCGGGGGGCTCCGGGGTGAGCCGCTGGCGCCCGTCCAGCTCTGGAAGCGCTGATGGATGGGGGCCGATGGTGGAAATTGGCTCTCAGCTGTCCCGGGAGCAGGAAAATCCCCTCTGGAGCGGGGCCGGGCTGCGGGGGGTGGGCGCAAAGGAATTTTGAACTTTCCGACAGCCGGCGGTGACAGCAGAGCGGGGGGGACACAGCTGGGTCCTGCTGGGGACCGGTCCCTCCATCCCCGCGGGGGGAGATTGTCCCCAGAGCGCCTGGGGACAGGGGACACTGCCTGGCACAGTGTCACAGAGCCAGCGGGGTGTGGGGGTCCCTCCCTGTGGCGCAGGGGAGGTTTTGGGGGGAAAAGCCGGATTTTTGGGGCAGCGCTGGGTTCCCAAACTGGCAGATCCCGCTCCGGGCTCTGACGATTTGGGCATGGGGGCTGCTCCTGCCTGGGGTCCCCGGCACCCCCCGGCTTTTTTTGGGGGGTCCCGCAAAGGTAAAGGCTGGTGGGGGAGGGGAAACAGCCCCCCCTCCCCCGAATTTGGGGAGGGGGGGGGACCCTCAGCACCCCCTTTTTTTGG